ATGGAAGGATACTGTAAAATTTCCATTCCCTCCACACTCCAATGGAAGGATACTGTAAAATTTCCATTCCCACCCCACTTCAGGGGAAGAATACTATAAAATCTCCACTCCCTCTCCACTCCAGGGGAGGGATACTGCAAAATCTTCATTCCCTCCCCTCTCCAGGAGAGGGATACTGCAAAATCCCCATTTCCTCTTGATCAGCTGGGACTCAAGAGGCAGAGAATAGATGGGGGCAGGGCCAGCCAGAGGTAGTATTTGCCAGTTCTCCAAACTACTCAAATTTTCCGCTACCGGTTCTCAAGAACCTATCAGAACCGGCTGAATTTCACCCCTGCCTTAGATATTGGAGCACTGCTATCATGTCACCCCTAGTCCTTCTTTGCATTGAACCAAAATGCTGCATTGCTAACCTCTTCCCTCTTGGTGGTTGTGTTGCAGACGCGGTAGGGCAGCTCCCCACCAACACCCTCTTGAAAGGTTTCCTGCACAGCAGCCGTCTGTGCCATCTGAGTTCCCGACAAGGTTCGTGCGATCCGGAAAGCGACTCCTCTCAGTCCACCGTCTCCCCGGAGACCTTGTGCTCCAGTCTCTGCAGCCTTGACGACAGCTTCCTTCTCAAGGAGTTGGGCTCCCCTTCCGAACTTGCCGCCAAACTGCTAGGCTCCGTGTCCGGCGGGGAGGACATGCTGATCTCCAAGTTGCCCACACAGACTGCCGGAGAATGTGCCTTCCGGAGCCTGGCACAACTGGAGTGCCAGGACTCTATGTACTCCATGTCCTTCACCGAGTCCTGCCTCTCGCCCACGGAGGAGGAGGGCCTTCCATGCAAGGACTACAAAGTCCATGGGGACAGTTGCCAGGTCCGGAGAAAAGTCTCCGACGTGGCCTCCTCCGGCGTGGTGTCACTTGACGACAACGAAGACGACGAGGTCGAAGAAGAGCCAGAGGTGGAGCCAGAGGTGGAGGAGGAGGATGCCGAAGAGCCGTGAACCCCCTTCCGTTCCGTGGCATGCTTCACCTGCCATTTTGCCCCGCTCCGTGGCACCTTTTCGTCCACCCAGCTCCACGGCCCATCAGTTGTCTCAGCGGGATGGTTCCTCCCCCCACCTTTGGATGAAGGAAGGCAGCATGGGCAGGAGTGGCGGCTTCGAAAGCTCCCCTCCCAGGCCTTCCTGAGCTCCACCGTGCCATCCGATTGCCACCACAAAAGCCTCCGGAGCTGCTTAGTGGCTTCGTGGGTTCTGCCTGCTGCATTTTCTCTCTCTTTCTCTCGTGGCCTGTTTTGTTTCCTTTGCATGGGAATGTCTTTGGGGGCAGGGCGAGGACGCCGAGCAAACTATCGGAAGAAGGGCAGTGCTGGTGGGAGTCATCACAACTCGGGGGGCGGGGGGACGACGACTTTGGGCAACATCGGGCCTAAACCCAATCGTGGTGCCCCGGGAACCAGAGTTGCCCTCGTTCGCTGCTCCAGGTGGCATGGCTAACGCTCTTTCAAGCCGAAAATCATTTCGAACTCGACGGACTTTCGAGATCACCTGTATGCCCCCTTTCCCATCCTGCCTCCTGTGGTTTGTGGCAAAGAGCTGAAACAGGACATGAAATGCAACAAGGATGTGCGATTTGTTATGCTTTTTTATAAAAAAATGAAGAGAAAAAAAAAACAAGAAAAAAATAATATCCACGCCCCCCCCCTCCCGGCCCGAGGGGCCATCCTTGGCTTTATTGTCTCAGATTTTATACCGTGGACTCATTGGAAGAAAGTGGGGGGAGTAGAATAGGGGGTGAGGGGGTGCCTGGTGTGTGCTAATATGCTCCATTCCCCCTCCCCTCCCCATCCCTTCGGAAAAGAATCAGCGAGTATGAGTGAATCTTGGTCCCAGATCTTTTCTATAGTTTTGTACGTGTGTCTCCATGTTCTGTCTTTCCGGGGTTCGGTGCCTCTACATGGATGGCTTTCCTTAGGGTGCCCTGTCCCCGGCTCTGCTCTCCCACCTTGGCCCACCCAGGTTGGGGATTTTACGATCTTTATCCTGCTCCCCTTTGCCTTGAGGCAGGGGCCAGCAACTTGTGGCTCTGGAGCCGCATGTGGCTCTTTCATCCCTCTGCTGCGGCTCCCTGTCGCTCAAAATACCGTGTCACAACCGCCAATGTGCGACACTCGCCAGCACGCGATGGATTGAGCTTTCCGATGCCCAGTAGGCCAATCATGGATAAAATCCAAGAAAAGAAAAATTTCAGAAGAAAACAGAAGGTTGAATTCAAATATATTAGTTTTGTGGGCGCTCAGGAAATAGTGGGAACAGTTTTGTGGCTCCTGGTGTTTCCTTTTTTTTGTGGGGAAAAAGGTCCAAATGGCTCTTTGAGTGTTAAATGTTGCCAACCTTAAGGTAGCCTTTCTCGACCTCAGCCACTTGGACCTCAACTCCCAGAATGCCTCAGCCAGCTTGGCTGGCTGAGGCATTCTGGGAGTTGAGGTCCACGCATCTTAAAGTGGCTGAAGTCGAGAAACACGAGTGTCTCTCTTCCATAGGGCCTCTTCTGACCTCACCTCTTCTCCAGGACTTTGTTAAGCGTATTTAGCTGGTGCAACATCACCAACAAGCCGCAATGATGTCACATGTGTTTTGAGTCATCATTTCAGAGATGGTGCAGATGGTCTTATCTGCATCATGGCTTGATGGGCTCGGGCCCCCTTTGAATCTTGGCGATAACGAGGACTTTGACTTCACTGGTTGGGAATTTGGGGGAGTTAGGTTCCCCAACTCCAAACTCGATAGAGCAGAGGTCTTCCACCTTGGCCACTTGAAGATTTGGAACTTCCACTCCCAGAATTCTTCAGCCAGCCATGTTGGCTAAGAAATTCTTGGAGTTGAAGTCCACAAGTCTTAAAATCGCCAAGGTTGGAGACCCCTGGCATAGAGAGCATCAGGGGGTTGGGGGTGGGGGAGGAAAGCTGATCAGCCCGGTAAGGATCCAATCAGGTTTATCCTGATGTCATTGACAAAGCTTCTTTCAAAGGTTTCTGGGAATTGTAGTTTGGTCAAAGGGTTGAGGATATGGAGCTAAAAGTCCTAAGGTTGTCCACACACCCGATTTAGCAAGGGGTGGTGGTGGCAGAAGGAAGGATGATGGAATCCGTTTGTGGATCCCCCCCCAACTTCTGAAGATCAGCCATTTGACTGATTAATTGTTCTCACCGTCAAGAAATTTCTCCTTAATTCTAAGTTGATCCCATCTCAACGGGTTTCCATCCATTGCTTCTCGTTCTGCCTTCAGGTGCTTTGGAGACTAGGTGGGGCCCCTTTTCTCTGGGGCAGCGCCTTCTCCTTGGCTTCAGAGCAGATTGCCTCATATAGTTCTTTTGATCTGAGAAGAAGGAATGTGACTAGCAGGAGGACCATCATGGACTGGTCTATCACCCACAGTTGATGTTCTTCTAAGGAACATCTAAGGAACATCTCCTTCTAACGAAGGAGAGGTTGCAGAGAGTGGAGTGTAGGGGTGATGATGTTGGGGGAAGTCTTGGATAATTCAACTAGTCATGGGGGGGTTAAACCAACTAGTCGTGGGGAGGGCTTAGTGTTCCAGTTATTCCAAGGGACTCTGGGATTTCATGGCGATTGGAAAGGTCGTTTCTTTTCCAACCATCTGGTAAGACTGGGGAATCTTTCGATGGGCTCAGGGATGGTAGGAAGAGTTGAGTCTCACCACAACCCGTCCATCTGAAGTGCAGCAAGAACCTAGTTGGGATCATGAGTGGGTAGGGAGACCCAAAGGCCACTAGGAAGTAGGGTGAGATGGAACGAAAACAACGTGTCTCATTCAAGAACCTCCCTTGCTAAGCCCGTCTTCTCCCGCATCGTCTGTGCAACACCAGTCCGTTGGGTGGCACTGTCGCAAGTACCCCTCCCTCCCCTCCCCCCCCACATACAAAAATCTCTGTGCGGACTCCTGTCTTGCCTCCTCCTTGATGCCCAAAGAAGCCCAGGGCATCGCCCTCTTCTTGACTCCGACCTCCCAAAACCCTCTCATCCTTGCACTCCTGTGTCCCAGTCGAAATGCACAGTATTGTTCCTGTGTGTCCCTATTTCTCACCCAGTTTGTTCCCGGTGTATAGCCCAGCCTGGTACGATTGTCTGTTTCGTTTTACTTTGTATCTGTAAAATTCATTAAAAAGGTGGTTCTACCCGATCGGTCCGTGTTTTGCTCCTTTCTTTTCCGTGCCCTTGCTTCTTCCGAACAGCTGTCTTTCTTCCCATCCCCGCCTTCCTGGATGTCTTTCGGAGTTCCAGATAGTCCTCGACTTACGACAGGTCCTCTCGGGACCGTTCAAAGCTGCCACGGCGCTGAAAGAAAAGTGACTTACGGCCGTTTTTCACACATGGCCTTTGGAGCATCCCTCCCCCCTCTCCCGATTACAGATCCAAATTCAGACATTTGACCACGGACTCGTATTTATGCCCGTTGCTGGGTCCCAAAGAAAGGTGGTTTTTGCAACTTTTTGACAAGCAAAATGAATGGAGAAAGACAGATTTACTTAACAACAGTGTTACTACCGTATTTCCCCCAAAATAGGACAAGGTCTTATTTTTCTTTCGACCCCCGAAATAAGCGCTTGGCCTTATTTTCAGGGAGGTCTTATTATTTTTGAGGTGCAGGAGGCGGCGAGTGTGNCTCTCCTCTTTCTTTCTTTCTCCATCTTCCTCTTCTCTCTCTCTCCCTCTCCATCTTCTCTTTCTCCCTCCCCCTCCCCCCCTCTCTCTCTCACACACACCACTTCCTTCTCTTTGCTCCCTTCCCAGGGTCTCCTCCATCAGTCCATTCCTCAGCCTTGGGCAGCAGCAACGTGGTGGCCAGCGGGAACAAATACGAGGTCATCACGGATCTCAGCCAGTTTGAACCTCAAGATATTGTGGTGACTTCCTACAACTACTGCATTGTCATCCAAGCTGAGAAGGTAAGAAAAGAGCTCCTGTCAGGGCGGAGAGGTACAGAGGGAATGAAAAGAAGCCGATACCCCAGGTCTTCTTCCCACAACACCTTTAAAACAGGGGAGAAATCAACTTACTTTCGCTACCGGTTTGCAAGTGTGAGAACTCGTGCCCCTTCTGCGCATGTGCAGGATCTTCCGCACATGTGCAGAACGTCAAAAACGGGATGTGATGACGTCCGGGCGGGTGGGCGGAGCCTCCCACCTCCAGCGCTACCGGTTCGCCCAAACCGGACAGAACCGGCTGAATTGCACCACTGGTTTAAAACCCAATCAAAGGAGGCATTCAGATGTGATTGGAATGTCGAAATGGATGAGTCGCTTAGGTCATTAAACAGCTCCCTCGATTGTTAAAATGAGCTGCGAGCAGCACCGTCTCCCGTGAGGCTAAGCTCACGCTTATGTCATGGCAATCCCCAAAGCTGCCCGTCTTCCACGTTGATTGGCACCTCTCTCCATGGAATTTGCAAGGAGATCAAATCCGTCCATCCTGAAGGAAGGCAACGCTTGGGAAGGACAGATCCTGAAGCTGAAGCGCAAATATTTTGGCCACCTAATGAGAAGAGAGGGAAGATCCTGATGGTGGGAAACAGTGGTGGGATTCAAATAATTTAACAACCGGTTCTCTGCCCTAATGACCAGCTGGGTAGGCGGGAGTCGGTGATCATGTGACTGGCTGGGCATGGCCAACTCAACGTCACTCAGGTCGATGGGCACTTCGCCTTAGCTGTTACAATGTCATAAGGGTTAACCAGAGAGGCTGTTTCTGCAAACAGGGCAATCAAGATTAGGTTAGAAACAACACTAGAATGTCTCCTTCCTGCCTTCCTTACAGGATTAGCCCTGTAAAGTGGGAAAAAACAAAAGGAGATTTCTTCCAACAAT